ACACACACACACACACACACAAACACACAGACATACAGGTAGACCACATTGTGGTTTCTGTTCTAAAACAACAAAACCACATCCTTACGTCTCGCAGTTATTTTTGACTCGTCTCTACAACATAAACAGCATATATAAATACGCCACAAATATATGTTGTATTTTAGTCTACAGTTGAAGATTCAGATACTGCTACCGAATCCCTCTGAATGATCAGAAATCATCAGAGTGATCTTAAAAATACATATCAACGTGTTTTCACAACTTCTCAACATCTGCTTAAATCTTTACCATCACAACTTGCTGCCTAACTCTGACTTTTACCGTCATTCGTTAACCTTTATCTCCAAACCAAGGCTGAACTATAACAAATCCTCTGAACCTGCTTGTTGTTTTCAGAGTGCGTCCTCTGTCAGATGGCAGTAACCCCTGGTCCACCAGCCTGGTGAAGTCCCAGAAGTCTGTCCCTCTCGCTGCCCTGTTTGCAGAACAAGGTGAGATTGTGATTGTTTGATATTTGAGTAATTTTTGTGTCCTAAGGCAAGTGATGACAATTTATAATAATGTATTGTTCAATGGGTTTTTTGAGTACTTGGTACTTGTATGATTTAAAATGGGTCTCACTGTCCTTTAGTTTCCCCTCAGGTTTGTCACTCAGACACAATACAGTTATTTGTTGTCAAAGGGCAGATTGCCGATAAAAATCAGCTGATATGAGACTTTCACAGATGCATCGATATCTGCGATTATCTTTGCTGATATGCAATTTTAACCCAAGAGTTTTTCATTTCATCTATAATTTCTTGTTCTGCGTTATCAGCAGGAGCTGGTAAAGATGAGGCGTTCACCCAGGATTGTCCCGACAGCAGCTCCAAACCAAAGCAGCTCAAGTTCCCCAACCAGGTGTACATCGATCTACCTCTGTGGAGGGACGAGCAGCAGCCTCAGAGCCCCGGGGGGCATTGTGGGCCTGGAGACTCTGGGGTCGGGGCAGCCGGTCAGAGTGGCCCTGCAGAAACCCAAGATGACCCCTATACCACCACATCCACCTCATCTTCTTCCACCACCCCGCAGCTCACCCCGACCAACAGTTTAAAGCGGACGTCAGCTCGCCGCAAGACTGACTCTGTGTTGTACGGCTGCGGCTCGTTGCTGGCGTCAGTCGTGCTCGGCTATGACATCAGGGAGGCTCTCAAAAACTCATCGCCTGGTGAGGATTGTGAGCCCCAACGCGAGGAGAAAGAGAAGAAGAAGAAGGAAGGCCTGTTTCAGCGTGCCACACGGTTCCGACGCAGCACCTCACCGCCAAGCGGTCGCACCCGCAAAGACGAGGTTACGTCAAACCACATCTCCCCCCAACCTGTTAATCTCATCTCCATGTCAGCCATCATGGAATGCAACTCCACCAAGTGTCTCCTGCAGTCTGAGGTGCAGGTGTCAGACTCGAGCCCTGGAAAAGTTGAGCTAGTGACCGTTAATCATCACACAGAACCGTTAAATGCCGGCCCAGCAGCTACAGACGGACAGGCTAACAAGACTGCAGCTAAAACACAGAAGCCAGTGCAAACCCAAAGTCAGCCGCCAGAGCCGAGCAACCATAATACAGGGACACGGCTACGCAGAAAGAAATACAACAACCACAACAGTGAGTCATACACAACATGGGGGGTGATGAGTAAGAAAGTGAATGTGGTTTTAAAAATATTTGCTGTACGTGTTAAAAATATATCTCCTCTGTCTGTTTGCAGCCAATGGTCCACCCACTCTGCCTCCCCCCACCCCACAGAAGAAGCAGGAGAAAGAGAAGGAGGGAGCTCCAGAGAAGCCCTCCGGCAGGGAGGTGTTCTCCAGACAACGACCAGTCTCTTTCCGGGCCAAACCCCACGCCTGGGCCCTGCTGCGAGGACGCAACAAGAGCTACTCCCTGGGCCACTACTCCGGAGAGAAGACGGTACAAAACCTAAACATGGTGCTGTCATCGGAGGTGGGGATGGGCTGCTCCCTGCTGGACATGGACACAGAGGGCCAGAAACGAGACTGCACCGTGCCGCTCTGCCGCATTCAGAGTTCCCCGGCACGGGCCTCCGTCTTCGAGCTGGAGAAGGAGTTCCTCTCTTAGAAGAAGTGATCTGCTGTGGTCGTAGTTCCAGAACATGCAGAATTTTGGCCTAGAACTCCTGGAGGGTTTAGAACCAGGCTGCCTTTAAAAAAAGAAAAACATTCTATAACTTAGAACCAAGCTTTGTCTTAGGTCTAGAACATAGTGATGTCAGTGTTCAAGAGTGCAACCAAGTCTTAGGCTGTGACTCAATTCAGGGGTCGCATCCTTTGGAGGATTCTGTCTAGGAAGGCTGAAGTTAAATGTTTGATCTATGGAGGATTTTTTAGTTGCGTTCTTTGCTCAACACGCTCTTAGCAATGCATCGTTAGCTACTTTGAGCTGCTGCAGTTCAGCCACAAGCTTGTTAGCTTCATTAGCTTGGCTGGCCCGAGAAGGATTCACCTGTTTGTTCCTTCGTTGCTCAGGAAATGGAAGGAGGCATCTGTCGGTCGTATTTGAAAGAGCTGTTGAATCGGGACAGCGTAGTCGCACTGCTGAGATACGATAGATCTTCAAATTCAGCCTCCGAAGGATGCGGCCCCTGAATTTAAGACACAGCTTGTAGAGGACATATGTGTCACAGGAGTTCTAGACTGTGCGCCCGTATCTCAGTGTGAGAAAGGCCTTACACACCGCTGTGTCTCATTCAACATCACACACACACCTGAAACCTGAGCGGAACGTTCCAGAGCTGGACAAGCAGCTCGACTGCCACCTTCATTAGCTCATTTCTCTCTCCTCCTTCGTCTTTGTCTTCCTCTCTCGTTCTGTCGGTGCAGCTAAACGTTGACCGCTGCTGCAGCTTTTTCAACACAGTACCCTCACCTTTTTATTTATAT